AATGACGCGTTTGTTAAGAACTGTTAATTTATAACACCTTTTATTAATAAATAATTAACGTTTTACGAAAGGGGAAGTGTTTCCACACCGGAAGTCGGTTCTGTCGTTTACCAGTTTTACTCGCTACTAGAAGTTCAAGGGACATATATAAATGGATTTTTGTGATATATCAAAACTTTCCTGTATAAACAATAGAACACTATCCCAATTAAGGCCAACGTTTAGTTCTTAATTAAGGATATCTAAGACATTTGACGGCTAACCTTGGCTTGCATATTTGGAGTTTGACGGTAAAAATATTGCGTTTTTGACCATTGACTGTTAAAATTTTGCCTATTTGACGGTTGACCTTTTAGAAGAATTTAGAATTTAATTCATTCGCTACGGGAATGGTAGGAGAAAGGAAGAGAACTTTCGTCCCAATTGATACCTAACCCCTTTATACCCACTCATCCCACCCCAGGGGAGGACATCCGTCACACAGTAATCTCGTGCGTGGGAAATTAACGTCTCGACCCCTAACCCTGCAGGAGATGAAACCTCCATTTATTCGTCCCTATCCGAAAAGACTAGAATATCTAATCTTTTCTTGATGTTGTAGAAAGGTAGCATATTCTTCTTAATTATTTTAAGACCTTTTCGTTTCGTTTCTAAAGATCTGTACATTGTACAGGTGGAAGAACATTAGGACACGTAGTCCCCTACTAGGTTCATCCACCTAAAGCCAATCCCCCTATCCCACCACGGGGAAGGACATCCATCACACAGTAATCTCGTGCGTGGGAAATTAACGTCTCCTAACCCTCCTGCAGGAGACGGGACCTCCATTTATTCGTCTCTATCCGAGAAGACTAGCTATCTAACCATTTCTTGATGTTTTAGAAAGGAAGCATATTCTTCTCAATTGTTTTAAGACCTTAAGTGTTGGTCCGGCCGGGGCTCGAACCCTCGACCTCCCGCACAACAGTCCGGTGCTCTATCCATTGAGTTAACCGGGAGGCGGTTAGCTCAATGGGTAGTTGACGTTTACCCCACTGAGATCCTCTTCAAAGACTCTCAGAGTCAAGCTTCCAGTCTTTCCAAGTCGTTCTTTCCACGCTTCGCATGAAATTAGCAATGATATGTAAAGGTAATGATTGCTACTTCTGGCAGATTTTGAAACTCCCAAAAAAATATATCTGCTGCTCTCGCATATGTCGCGCCTAACACGTGGTGAACGCACGAAAATGTTTAGAACTATTCTCTGTAGGAATCAAGCATCTTGGGAAATGAAAATATTCAACCCAGCTTAAAATTTTTGCATGCAATTAGGCACCCATGGGGATGCACAAAAATGACCTTTTTTAAGGTTGCAGCACTCTTGTTGCCATGGTAACAACTACTGCTTGTTTGCGGCCTGGAACCTCATTTTCACATTAAAACGTCACCCTAAAAACTGGAAAATGTTTATTTTTCTTAAAAACAAGTGTTTGTATCAAAATTACCACTAAAAAAGTTGTTCGTTTGTTTCATCCACAGAACATGGCACTAACTATAAAGATGGCTTTTACTATAGCGCTTGTAGTGATTATGGTAGTGGCCTTAGTTCGTAACATATTGCTAATATATATTGTAAGGAAGAAGCCCGAAACGCGAGGCCTGACCAGTTTCTTGTTTGTCAATATGGCAGTGGCCGATCTACTGGTTACGGTATTCAGATACCCGTCTCCATGGCCCACTTTTACGCAACTAACCTATCTGGTGTGACCGGTGACCTATTCTGTAAACTTTTTTCCTATTTTTTGCAAGTTTTGTTGACAGCCTCGATCCTCAGTTTGGTCGTGATGGCACTTGATCGATACTCCGCTGTTGTACACCCTTTGAGGCGATAAATCTGGTTCCGAAGATCCAAGGTCTTTTTACCTGTTATTTGGGTAGCATCCTGGACTTTTATGGCCGTCAATTTAGTCTCTTATGAGGCTAAGCGTGAGAAATGCCTTTATACAGAGTTACAGAGTCACGGTAGCCCCGTGTTCAGATCCTTGGTCGCGCTTGTAAATAGCCAACTGATTTGCCTCCGGCCGGTTGGGGTTCTTAATGATGTTCTTAATGATGTCATGTTCAATTTAGACCATTTGTTTCATTTGTTTGCAAGGACCACAATGGAAACTACTGGTTCACCAGTAATTGTGTAATCCTATAAAAAGACTTTTTTTTTTTTCAGTATACTCCAAGAGCTACCCTTGGGACCTACTTACTGGTTATTAATTATATTTTGCCTCTCGCTATCATTTCTGTTCTTTACAGTAAAATCGCGCAAAAAATATGGTTCCACGAAATTCCTGGTCAAAACGAGATTTCTCGAAACCTAGCAGATAATCAAATTCCCAAGAAAAAAGTCCTCCGAACACTTATCATCATTGTAGTTGTTTTTTCGGTCTGTTGGTTGCCCACACAAGTGCTCCAAATGGACTACGGGGTGAAAGAAGGAATAACGTGGCACCCCGTGGCCATCTACTTCGCTTCGTGGCTCAGTGAGGCAAACAGTGCCATTAATCCTTGGCTCTACATCCTCCTCAATGGAAAAATGAATCGAACTTTTCGCAAAATGATCCGGGGCCATGGAACAAGGACCCGAGCATCCATCAATGACAGCCAATCAACCACGGCCAAGAGCTTACTCAGAAATGCCTTTCTTGAAAGTACTGTGGTTTAAGGGACCATAACTGCACTGCTTAAAACAGTAGATGATTAGGTTTAGCCTTAGGATATACACAGGTTATCATGATTATGTTACCTCCAAGTAAATCTATGCCGCAAGAAGAGAGTACCTTGAGACCATTAAAATCATTAGATTAGTGCTATTTATAAGAAAATTTATGATCAGTACGTATCAAATGTTAAGGATCTTGATGTTCAGCCATAAGATTGCAGGTTTGCTTAAAAGTACTTCCTCCAGATAGTTAGCTGCCACCGAGAACAAAGCATGTAAAGAACATTCGGCACTGGCACGGTTAACAGATCTGTTCCATTAGCAAGCGGCTGACCGAAATTGACCCCTTGCGCCTGCCCTACAATTGACCGCGGTGCTCCTTTTCCACGGCTTGTATTTTTTGACTGCCACTAAGCAAGAGTAAGCCTGTGTACCTGAGATGATACTTGGCTACTTAGGAGTTACACAAGTGCGATTTATTTATGCCAAAATACTTCGATTCGGCGATTAATAAATCGGTAATCGAGAGATTTTGCTACACAGACTCTACAATACGTCATAATTATCATATGCAAAGACAATAGCAACCGCTTAATGACTCTTTTACACTTGGCGCCTCAGATGCAGGCTCCCACATTTTGTCAGAATTGAAAAGACTGAGAAATTACCAAATGCGACTAAAGGGCGACAAATTTGTAGAATTACCCACCAAAGTGTCTAAATCTCATATAATCAATAACAGTTGAGACTGATGCTTTACAGCTCTATAGCTCTCCGTAAGACAATCAGTAAAAAGAGAAGTCCTAATAGCGGGAAAAATTAAGCAAAAAGCATCAATTACAACTTAGTTCAAAGGATTGTGTTTCTCTCAAGTCTATTTGGACAAAAAATGTAAGCAGATGAAAACTTATCATATGGAAGCGGGAAAAAAATTAAGTCAGAATTAATAGTCACAAAGTCTCCGTCAATTCCGAGGTTGCATTGGATACAAAAGAGTTAAAACGAAAAAAAGTATAGATTTCAAGTTGTCATAGGATTTATTCAGAGGGAGAAAAGAAAATTCATGGTAATCATGGTGTTGTGGTCTCAGGCTAAAATCTGTATTTCTCTAGGTCTTGCGTGAGTTTTGTTTCAGCAATGTGGCGAGAGAGCTCCAGCCACTTACACCTCACACGACCAGGCTGTCTATTTTTCGTCTCACATTACCTTCAAATTAATGCATTTTAATTGTAACCAAAACGCCAACTACGCAACACTTTGCGGTTTCAGATAAAAGGAATCACTTGGAGAGCCAAAATCATTTTAAAGCACATTACCTTTAGTCACAAGGTGTTTTCATCGGCACTGTTTCTTGAAAACGGTAAAGAAGAATCAAGCCCAGTTGTTGTTTCTATATAACTCAAAAAGAAGAAAAAAAAAACGCTCTTTAGCTTCTCCACTTTTAACTGGTAGGTAATCTATTATTCGTCTCTGACTGAATATCTCTGACTGAATATACCCCGTAAATGTTCTAAGAACATCGCACGATTTAGCTAACAGTCATTAAAGAACCAAAACTCTGAATTGCGTTCTTCCTTAGAGAATAAGGTACAATTTTATTACCTTTCAGATTTATTCAGATATCATACAAATTAAGCCATCGGCTTTTAAGAACATGAGCGAATAGCTCTTAAAAATTCATACGAAGGATTTAAAAACAAAAAAAACAAGGGTAATAAAATGTGATAGTGAATAATGATTAGGGGCACTTAGTAAAGAAAAATTGATCTCAGAAGGCAAGTTCCTCAGATCGGAAATTTCTTCAGTTTGAGAAGGGCTTCCAAAAGACTTACAATTTAGTTAAAAAGGAATTGCACAGTTTTATTCTTTAACTTTTCTCCACAAAGCGAGAATTTTCAAGGCTAATTCTTGCGAATAAAGGCAACATCTGGATGTTTAACGAAAATAGTTTTGAACTACGTCAGCGACATGTTTCGACCTTTTAGATTTAGGATTCAGCTCAGTGAAAAGTAAAACTAACTTTTAAACATGTTGGGTGCTCGTTTTTACGGTAAAAGTGACTGAAAGTCATTTTAAAATGCTTCTAAGGTAATGGTTATATGAAACAATGATAAAGAAGTTCTAACATTGCACCCGCCATGAAAACAAGGAGGGATAGTTTGACCTCACGGGTACCGACAGTGGCTGAGTCTAGACGGACGACACTAGGCTATATAGGACGTAATAAAAACATAATAATAGAGAAAGAACTCTGAGGCTTCGAAAACACCGAATTTCAAATCATAGTTTTCCTTCTTCATTGCAGAACATGGGATTCACAGCTGAAGTGGGCTTCACCATACTTTATTTCGTGACAATGGTCGCAGCGCTGCTTGGAAACACATTGCTGATATACATTGTGTGGAAAAAACCTGAGACGAGAAGTCTGACAAGTTTCTTGTTTGTTAATATGGCAGTGGCCGATCTATTGGTTGCTATTTTTCAGTTGCCTATTAACTTCGTTCATCTGCATGTATCAGAAATTCCTCCTGAGGTTGGCTATTTTTCGTGCAGGTTCCTTTACTACCTCGCTAACATTACGATGACGGCGTCTATCTTTAGTCTTGTTGTCATGGCATTTGATCGATACTTTGCTGTTGCACATCCTTTAAGGCAAAGGATTTGGTTCAGGAAAGCCAAACTAAGTATCCCACTCATATGGATCTCATCGTTAGCTTTGATGGCTATCACCCCTTTCGCCTTTGAGCTGGAGAATGGACGGTGTTATTATGCAGAGGACGAGATGCCACCACTGGCCTTTTGGACGTATCTCCTTGTCATCAGTTACCTCCTTCCTCTCGCTATCATCTCTGTTCTTTACCTCGCAGTCGCCCGAAGAATATGGTTCCAAGAAATTCCCGGGCAACAAGAAAGCATCCGAGACCAGCCACAGGGTCAGATCCCAAAGAAGAAAGTTCTCCGAATGCTCATTATTATAGTGGTGGTGTTTGCTCTTTGCTGGCTTCCCTTGCAAGTGTTCCAAATGGACTTCGCGGTGCGAAACATGCTGAAAGACTGGCATCCTATCTCCATCTACTTCTGTTATTGGTTCAGTCAGTCAAACAGTGGAATAAACCCCTGGTTATACATTGGCCTAAATGGAAAAATGAAGTCAGCTTTCAACAAAATGATTCGATGCCGTCAAGGAGGAAGTGGTCAGAGGAACAAGGCATCCACTTCCACTCTTCCTCATGGGTCAGCAGGATGCACACGTTTGTAGTACAATTTGTGAAACCATTTCGACACCTGCATAATCAAGTCAAGTCTAGCGTAGTTAGTATGTATATAGGAGCTTTTTCTAGCTGAATTCATCGTAAAAAGTGCCCAAAGCAACTATTAATTACTGCATAGACATATTTATGTTTACTTGATATACAAAATCACCTTTAGCTTCAGGCTGTAAGACCTAAGCGCTTTTCCTTAGTTTTTTTTTTTTTGTTATCCTCTTCTTTTCTCATATTCCCTTGTTAGGTTTTTTTTTTTTGTTCAGTTCGTTATCGTTTTCCATGAGTTACACCTTTACTTTCGTACCCTTTTATACCTCACACAATGACACGCAGTCCTCTTGTATTTAAACGCAATTTCTTTTTAACATAATCCCTTTTTTTCAGTCAGTTTTTCTTAAAGTCGCGCCAAGCACAGTTCTCTGTTCAAGAATTTTGTAAAGAACCGAAAAAATTGACACTAATAAATTTTTCTTTGGTCAAACTTGCACGTTCAAAATGGATATGCAGCCGCTTCGTTTAATTTTTTTTTTTAACTTTGTTTTTTTTCTTTTTGCGTTTTTGTGGAATTCGACGTCGTCTCGCCCTAAAAAACACTCACAAAAAAAAAAA